AGAAGAGCGGGGATTGGCTGTTGGTCGCTCGCCGCTTCCAAATATGGGACAGTCTCCGTGGTCCATTCATAAAACTACGGGGCGCGCCGAGAATCAGCTCAGTTGGTGCGCGACCCCCACGCATCGCACTTCCTTTATCCATCATCCCTCCTCGTGACACACACATACACACACACATTGGAACATTTGAATACAGCAAAACGGGGATTGAGACAGATACAGTGAAAAAAAAAAAACGAACAGCCCCGGAGAAAACAGTAAAACGTAACTGTTAGGGAGACACGCGCTGAAGAAAGCCCACGCACTTTATTTTCAATTTTTTTTATTTTTCATTCTTTTGACATTAATTTTTTAAAATTCATGGTGCTTACGCCTGTGTGTCTATGTGTTCTGTCTTGGCGAAATACATGCCGGTGTCTGTGTGTCGGTGCATTTGTGTATACCTGCCACCCGTTGATCGTCGCAAAGCCGTGAGGAGGCGGACATTCGAATAAAGCCTGAGGAAGAGGAACAAATGATCTTATTAGTTCACTGATTGCCGGTTTTTACTGACTCTCTTGGTGGACCATCTGAGAGGGAGGGTGGCTTTGGGACAATTGCTATTGGAGTTATGAGACGTGTCAACTAGTTATCCGGGAGGTGATGAAATTTTTAGTGATGAAGTAGATGATCCCAAGGATTTCAAGGATATTGAGGATTCTGGGATTGATGTGGGTTTTCAAATGTTCCCTCCACTCAGTCTGCTAACTCAATAACGGTTTTGCTACTGGCTACTGTGGGTACCACATGAAAATCTAAATAAGAAGTTGAGGAAAAAGGAATGAAGCCCCGGAGATTATAAACACGCGTGCGATCTATTCAAGTGTACATGTACATTGGGTGAGACGGTTGTGCCTTCGTTATAAACCCCCGTCTCCCTCGCGGCTGAGTTATAAGCGTTTTGTGTGGCCGAGATCACGGTGTAGTTATAATTCCAACCGAGCTTTTTCACTGCGTGACGCGTGCGCGTGTCGTCCAATCCGTACACAAGCCCAACCACTGAAATTGCTCAGGCTGAATATCAAGTGGTGAGGACAAGACCGAAGCAAGCTCAATGCAATGAATTTGAGATAAATCGTAGATGTTAGATTGATGTTAACTTGATAAACGGACAAATTGAGAGAGACAAGATTGATTGATGAGAGCGTAAACATTGAAACGTGAGGGACATTCAATCCAAAAGTATCAATAATAAGTATTTTAATAATAATTGCGTTGAACGATACGACTGCAGGCGAGGACACGCAGTGCGGCCCAACAGAAAGAACCGCGGCGGCGTCAACCAACACCGCAGCTGACCAATCGCCAATCCAGAGAATGACGATGGATGGACTAGAGGTGGGCACGCAGCATCATGCGGCCGCTCCATTTCTCCTATCATCACCACCCCCTGGACACCATCATCTCCATCATCATCACCATCATTCAGCGCCAACGCATCATCCACACGGCTACAACATCCAAACGGTGCAGCTGAGCTTTGATGCTTGTCTTGCGTACAACACATCGCCAACAAATTCAACGACAACCGGTCGAATATCACCGACCACCGGCACAACTCTCAACACCTCAAACGGTACTGGCAATGCTGTACCACTCCTGACGTTATCAAGTTGTATGACATTGCATCCAGCTAGCTCAAACTCACCGGATCTGCATCATCGGCATCATCACAGTCATTATCACACGGATCCACAGCCACACTGCGATGATCCATCATCACCGGGTGAATCAGCTGAGAAGAGTATTCAGAGAAATGGCGATGAGGATGATGCGTGCAGTGGCAATTGCCGTGACGAATTGCGTGACACTGGTGAAAAGGACAAACCCGGGGATCTCAATACACCGGTTACAACGAGCAGTGATCTACCCTCGTTCTTCGGACCCTCAGCCCTCGTTGAACCACCACCCATATCAGGTACTATTCCAGCCACATATACTTCGTGCACCCCAGATTCCATCCCTCCGTCTCGCCCCTTCCCTTTTTGCCAATTCTCAAAGTCAATGTCGAGGATGGCCACGAGGCTGCCCCCCACCCTGCCGAGTGACGTAGTACGACCGCGAAAATAGAAAGAAAAAAAAAGAAAGAGGAAGGAAATATCGAACCCTCGACATGCCGTCGGATCAATACTGGCGACCCCGACATTCAGTTTTCCAACCCCTATCCTCCCTACCCTCACCAATCGCACTCTCTCCTTCCGACGGCAATCCCCACCACGTCGACTTCCATTTCTCCGAAAGCTACGGCCTCTGTCGTCCTCAACCCCATCCCCTTTTCACCGTCCATTCATGCTTTTTACCCTCCCTACGTCGTGCTTTCACCCGTCGACCGTGAGCTTTCACGGGCGCCACTTTGACCCATACCCTCGGCGCCACCGTCTGGCTTTAATCATCCCCTTCTGTTGCCCCTGGATTTCCCAGCTGATTCGTCTACTTCGACGGGCAACTTCTATTTCCGTTTTAATCGGCGATTCATTTCGGATGCACATCAGAATTATGGGTCAAATTCAAGCGCTCTTGCCCGTTTGTTCAAAATTATTGTTACGAATAGAAGCGTCTCAAGTCAAATCCGCCTGTCCTAAATTATACTATTATTAAATTAAACAACAAATTAATTACCCTGTCTTACCGACGGATACAGGGTCTCCTTCACAATCGGCTTGTGCATGTTTTTGGAATGCCTCGGAATCTTTCTAATTATCCACATGATGTTGATAACCTACAATTAGGCTCGTCTAATGGAACTTAATAAAGAAGAGCTGCTGTTATCGGAAAAATCGATTGCTCTGCTTTACCGACGAGTGCAACATACCCTTTACGATAACCTTGTGCATGGCTTTGAATAAAACATCCCGGACACAGTGAATTTCAATCTCACCTTCGGTGATCCAGAAATGATGATAATTAAATTGAAAGGAATTAGTCGAAACGTAGAAATGGAGTAATGAATGCTTGCAATATAAAATCCAAATCGTCTTGCGTATAGCTTTGAAACTTGAATCGTGGCTTTATCAATCGCTGACTTTTTAAGAATCAAGTTCCATCACTTCCTACGGATGTGTAGTAGGAAGGAAATGAGTGACAAGATACAGACTGTCACTCCGATACCGAAAACATTAGCCCCAGATGATAGCAGCTCCCTAGTATCGTGTACTTCCTGCGCTTTCATTCACCCGCGCAATCGTCCTTCACTTCCCCAGTTTTCCACTCATCCCCTAAAAAATTCAATGGAGACAATCTGACTGATTCCAGGTAGTCTGACAGGTGAGGATTTGTCCCTGGAGGAGGCAGCAGGTGATGACGATGACACCCAAAATCGTGATCACCATCATCATCACGACAATCAGGACAGCGTAACGACAGGACAAACATCATCGAGTCCCCAGCGTCATCACCAGGATGACGTTGATCGTTGCAATGTTCTCCCAGGTAGTGTTATTCTGTATTCATCGCCTCACTCGACGGTGTCATCGGCCCCCACGAGTGTCAACATCTGTAACGTACCAACGTTGACGTACAGAGGTGTCTTCACAACGACGTGCACCCAATCATCGACGCTGAACACCTTGCAAACCCCTCAGCAACAGCAACAGCAGCAGCAGCAACAGCAAGCGAATCAAGAGCTCTGGGGATCAATTCCCTCGCCGACAGCTCTGACCCTGACCAGTCAGCCATTCCTCCATTCCACGCTGCACTCGTCTCCCTATGGAAACGAGACCGTTGAACTCCTTCAGGTAGATTCCAAACCACCACCACCACCACCCGGTTACCACGACACTCCATCCTCAACACCAACAACCTGGATGAGCCACGATGACAGTTATGATCCAAATCTCCTCTCCCATCATCACCAGCCACATCCTCATCACCAAGAGCCAACACTCAAGCAGGAGCCAGTCACCAATTCTGGGTACACACCCAATGTTCAACAGCATCAACAACCAACCCAGTCACAGCAACAACCATCGACAAATCCTGGTGCTGTACAATTAGCTGAGTACAATCCAAGCACATCCAAGGGACACGAAATACTGTCGCAAGTTTATCAGCAGAGTGCATTACCTCTGAGACTTGTACCAGTTAAACCAAGAAAATATCCAAACAGACCCAGCAAAACACCTGTTCACGAGCGGCCATATGCCTGTCCCGTTGATGGCTGTGATAGACGTTTCTCGAGGAGTGATGAACTCACTCGTCACATACGTATACATACAGGTCAAAAGCCATTCCAGTGTAGAATTTGCATGCGCTCATTCTCGAGGAGTGATCATCTGACGACTCACGTCAGAACACACACTGGGGAGAAGCCATTTTGCTGTGATCAATGCGGTAGAAAATTCGCGAGAAGCGATGAGAAGAAGAGGCATGCCAAGGTACATCTCAAACAGAGGCTCAAGAGGGAAGCAGGCCATTCAAATTCGAGGAATCATCCGCAATCTCATGCTTCGTCGCCTTGCAATTAGGTACGAGTTGTCATGAGTTATTTGTTGTTGTTAGAGTGGGAGCCATCAAGAGCCAGTATCGAATTTAATGCGTTTTATTGATCTCTTAAAATACTCAATGATGATGTTACATGCCCTTGATACCCCTGTGTCTTTCAATCGTGTGACTGGGCAATCGCTTTGTTATCTTCGGGGGCGAAGGGCGAATCTATTCCCTTTTCCTTTTCATTCGTTAACAGATCATCTTGAAAATATTTAAATTATTATGTCCTGTCAACCGGTTCTCCACTGAGACTAAAACGCACGGGCTCTCGAATTCATTTCATTTTTATTCATCAGTTCGATTCTTTATTTTTTTTTCAATTGTTTATGTCACTCAATGACGAATTTGCAAGGTGCAATTACTGTTATATCATAATTGTTGTCTAATTAATTCTAATTCAAGAATGAATTTCTTCGTGTATCGAGTTGTTGACGTTTTTGCGACTAGAGATTTATTCGAGAATCTATTTGTTTTCCTCTCAGTATCTCTTCGCCGCCGATCTGTTTATTACCCTTTAAAAAAAAAACAAATGTAACGTACGGATAATTTTATCCTCATCCTCTGCTCCTCGTGAACCGGACACGCTAAATCCCGGCTGTACCATCCAAAGTCCGATTTTTTTTTTTTCCAAAAAGCAAAAACAAAAAGTGAAAAGCAAAAAAATATATATATTGTCCGATGAGTCAACGATAATACGCGACTCCACTCACCGCCATAAAACCCCTGATTGTGAGATGAAAGCAAAATGTTATGTTATAAAAATTATACATAGATATATTATATATAAAGTTTAAACTAAAAGAACACGCAAGTGTAATTATCGATGGTGATTTATCGTTGTTAAATGGAAAAAAATGTGAATGTTTTTTTTCTTGTAAATATGTACATAATACGACGTACTGTATGTATACATAGGAATAATGTGTAAAGATCGCCAAAACATGAAATGCCGGTGAAAGAAAAAAAAAAAAAACATTGATGTTGAAGAGAAATATTTCCTATGATTCGTCCCTCACACAGAGTTCGAAAAAAAAAAAAAAAAATTCAATTCAAGATTAAATTTATCAGTTATAGTCTTTGGTCACAGTTGTAACTATTCGCCTAGTATTATATTATTATACATATGTGCATACACATGACGCGGTAATTAATATTATGTATATGTTGCTCTATTTATTAACAGAAAATTAAAGAGTGCGTACGTCTGGTACGCCAATTATTCTCGCGCACACAGACACTAGCGTAAAATACATATATAACTATATGTGTATATATTGTTGATATAGAATGAGTATTTTTATTACGATGAAAAAAATAATAATAATAAATTAAAATGGAAAACAAATTGTTTTAATTAGATGGGAAAGGGACGGATGAGAGATTAATTCTTCTGCTTAGTGATGTGTGCGCGTCTGATCCCCTCGCCTTCTTTTCCCCTTTGCAATTTCTTGCCCTTTCCCCTTCAAAAAATAATTACCCACCCCCTACCCCTTCAACCCATCACCCCATTCACCGCCCCACCCACTGTCCCGCCCGTCAGAGAATACTTTTTTACAAAAATGATATTATCCTATTTGCCTAGGTAAATTTAATGAACATAAAAAATACAACAGAAAAATGTGAAATATAATATTATTATATACACTATTTTTTTTTTCTCCAGTGCAATGCACAACATTCGATAAAAAAAAATACCTGTATTTCCAGTCGTTGTCGTTTCAGTGCAACAATTGAGCGCTGCCTACGATAATTATTAACAAGAACAAAATACAAGTTAACAATGATTCACAGAATTTGAAATATTTTTTCAGTTATTTCTTTACCTCACCTTGGAATTTTCGGTTTATATCTGAAATTGAGAGGTTTTTGGAAGTGGAAGTAGATGGAAAAATTCTATTGGACGGAATTCAGGAGTTTTTAATATAATCTTTACGTTTTTGTTTGATTTTTCGCATTAAAAATCCATTTACATTGTTAGTCACAAATCGAAGATAATATATGTGTCAAATTTTGATTCACATTCTTAAAAAAAAATTTTAATATATCATTATATTTTACATGTCATCCACATTTTCTTCATACCTTGTGATTTCAATCCTGTCTTTTCATTAAAGTCCCACGAAAATTTATAGACCAATTGAAAAAAAACTTGAGGTCCCAGATTTATTAGTAATTTTCGCGCAAATGGAGTACTGCTCCCCCATACTCTATCAGAATGCATCCAAGTCCCAGACAATGCCCCAAATAAAATTGAATTCCATAAAATCTCAATTAGGCATCTCATAAAATCCACTGGCGCCATTTGATACCGCAGCATCTTCCAAAACTATCACAAACCCGAGAAAGCAATATGCAAGAGCACCTCGTCCCTTTATCAGCCTCTCTCTCCCCACCTCACGAAAAAAAAAAAGGCAATCCAACAAAAATGAAAAACTCGTTCTCTCGCGCCAACGAGTCTCGTCAAGTCCCACCGTAGTCCGCATATTCAAATATTCATAATTTCAAAACGTCGAACGTCTCTCTCGCAACCAACCCAGATCGCCCAACGTTGCCACATTGCCCATCGTGAGCCAATCAATACGAGAGGAATTTCCACCAATTTTTTTCTCTTTTTATCCCGATACGATTGAAAATTCTTTCTAATCTTTTTCTCTCCTACGCATTGTGTCTGCGGGGTTTGGCGAAACGAGAGAGGGGGTGAGGTAGGGGTGGGTACGTAGGGCTGTCTACCAACAAGTATAAGAAAGAAAACATTACACGAGGCGGGCAGGAGTGAGGCTGTGAGAGCATGTCTATAAATAGGCCCAGGACCCGAGATGAGAGGGCCTTCTCTACACCTCTTGCATTCACTATGACTCCATCTCTCTTCACCGTTTTCTCGACTCGCCCGGTGACCACACGCTACTCACCCCTCCCCCACTTACCTCCCCTCCTATCACCCCTCCTACCTCCCCCACTCGCTTCCCCTCCTATTCGCCTCCCACTACACCACCGCTACCTACCCCCTCTCTCGCAAATCCATACCATTTTAGCGGTGCCTCTCCTCTTTTCCTCATGCTCATTCCACCCCACTCTCTCTCATTTTATCGACTTCTCGCTCACTCCAGACACTCAACCCAATGTATCTCCCTCCAAATCGTCGCCACCCACGGTTCTGTGTACGTATGTGCAATGAGAGACACTAATACTGTCGGATACTTTCACGAGAGTCTCGGGTGCGAGAGAATCTTTTGAAATAAAAAATCTCTTGATAGCCATGTGCAGGGGAAACAGATTAGAAACACCGGAATTAATGGTTTCAGATCGTTTCGAGAATTGTTTAGCTTGTGGGAGAAATGGTACCTCTTTTGGCAGAAATAAATTTTCTAGCGGATAATCTTAAGATGAGTGTGAGAGCCTAGGGTATGCATGCTATTTTTTTTGTTGTCAATAAATTTAAATAAAAAATTTAATGCACGGAGAGAAATATTTAGTAAAAATTACGGAACCGTTTATGGAATTGATTCTCATATTTTCATAGATAATTCAGATAAAAATTACGGAATGCCGCTGAATAATTATTTCTCTCCGTTTTTTAAATGCCATTTGGATAAATTGCAGAAATCGATCAATTAATTTTTTAAATTACAGGTGTTAATTATTGGTGGATGAGATCGTAGAATATCTTGAGGAGTTTTATAAAAAAAATGTTTGGAGACAGATTTAATTCAAATATGATGACCAGACTCGAATGTGCAGCACCGACCCTCGGGTCTGGAAAAGAAATATTGAATGAATAATAATATGAGCGTAGAGCGGGGTGGATGATATTTGATTCTGGTTTGAGTTGCAAATCGATAAATTCAGATCGCCCTTGCGGCTGAGATAGTCTAATTGACAGTAACGTATAGCGTTATATTCCAGGGATTTCAGAGTGCCGATGAAAAATAATAAAAGAGATGGAAAATAAGAGTGATAAAAATTTAGTGCATATATGCGTGTATACACATGGTTGATCCTGAAGGGAACAAATATAAGTAATCGATTGGCTGCGCTGAGCATACGTTGCTCTCGTGTTATCGAAAACATGAGGACGGAGAAAAAGTGGAGGGTGAGGGCAAATAAATGGAGAAAGGAGAGCAGAGATGATATAACAACGTGTAAAGAATTATCGGAGGTAGCGAGGAATGTCGGCATTAGTCCGATGGACCGACTTTCTCCTACGTCCGGGACATAAAAATAATGTTGGCCCAATGTCGGCGGGAGGTCGGCAGAAATTCAATTGTCTTAATGTCCACGGTTGGAGCAGATATGTTTTCAACATCGGCGCAACGCTAGTGCGGTGTTGGAGATATGCCGACTTTCGCCCAACCCTGAGCCGACATTTGACATTTGATATTATTTGCCAATGTATTCGTAATGAGTGAAAATTCCAAAAAATTTGATTTGATTAATGAACGGTTCTACTAAAAATCACGTCTTCTCCTTCATCTCCGCAAATATTTCCGAAAAAATCTACCGAAGACCTGAATTACCATTTCATTCTACCACTTTACTAAAGAATAATAAATTCCAAAAAAAATCTCGAACAATCTTAGCGCGCCAACCTTCGCCCGAGGTCCCGCCGACACTCGCGAGTGAAGCGTCGAGCTTTCCCCAGTGTCATTTCAAGATTTTTCTAATGATTTTCTGCCCCATCAAGCCCCAAGCATCTCCGGGAATATGAGAAAGAAAAAAAAATAGAGAGGAGTACTTGAAGAGCGTCATCTCGAAGAGGAGAAGAGAGAAAGAAGTGGAGTGTATAGCACGACGCCCAAGAGGAGTCCCAAGTCTGTGGTCGCCTGCCACACCCCGATGCGATTAAACCTGTTGCTGCTTCGTTCTCATCGTAACAGATATAGGTATATGTAACCCACGCCCCGTGATCCCTTGGCAACGTTTAACTTCAAGAGAAATACATTGAATTCATCCTGACCCACCCCTCCTGCCCCTCCCTGGAACACGGAACCGCTGTGATGTACCTCATTGTGAACACCAAAGGACTTCAGTCGTATTAGTCCGTTCGAAGTACATGACTAAATGATGCACATTAATTAATTAGCCAATGAACTCCATTATTTAATATCTGATCCTTCATGAAAGGTCAAACAATGAATATCATTTGCTACCTCCAGACGAATGCAGCACATGTAGAAGGTAGGGTTAACAGTCATTATTTAACCTTCAACCCAGTTGTATCGCGATTACCTCGAGGGTCAAAGGGACAACCACATGGGGAAAAACCCTGATCAGATGAACTCGTACCCTACGAGATTATCGCTCAGACGATGAAACTGTGTAAATTAAAGCGTTAAAAAACCATTTGACTGCTGTCATGACTGGGAATCGAACCCCAGTCTTCTGCCTGTCAATCCAGTGCTCTAACCACACAGCCAATGGTGTTCACACCTACCACCTCCATACCTTCTAATATTATTATGAACATAATAACAATAATTGTTATTATTATTCCCTAAAAATTCACAAGCCGTTCTTCACCCTAGAAATTCCAAGCCATTAATCCACCCACAAAACTGATTATCCCAATACAAAAAAAAAACAATGGGTAATTGTTAAAATATCCCATTGAAGCTGCCAATGAATTCGATATAACGATCGCCCACGTATCAAGTAGAAATGGCCGTGAAATATGGGAAGGTCCCAGGCCAGATTGCAATGGGGTTGATGTGGGTTGGGGTGTGGATATTTCAGGGGTTGTGCGGCCAATGTCGAGTGTCAGGGCAAGGGGTTGCAGTGAGACAAGGGCAGGGTTGAAAAGGTGTCCCGATGCCGGTGGGGGATTGACCCGACGAGGGGTAAGGGGTGGATGGTGGGGCAAGAGGTAGGGCGGGAATGTTTGAATCGTTCATTGAAGAAACGACACGTGTATGACGGAGTATGTTCTCCCCTCGTTAGAGGGCGGGGGGGAGGGAGGGTGGATTTGTGACAGGGGTGGGGAGGGGTTGCCATGCAACCATCCACCGGGGCTTGCGTTGCCCCTGGCGACGCTGTTGCGTCACTGCAGCGGTCGGGTGACGTCACAACGCTAGTGACCTTGACCGCCGGGACAACCGCGATATTTACCCCTCCGGGTTTACCCAACGTCCTAGTACATTTTCCCTTTTCGTATCCCCCCATTTATCCAAGTTCAGGGACACCACCACCTCCACCTCCCTCTGGGCTCGATGCATTTTTCGTCAATGACGACTTTTCCACTTGACCCCCTCCCCCCCCAGAGTACGTCAAACACGTCAGCACTTGATAATTGTTTCAGGTGACGTATTTCCAGGGAGGTTTTTTTCAGGGTTATTTTTGTCATTGATTGATTGCTCTTTACGACTCTTAAACTGTTTTCTCCGGTATTTGTTTGTTTTTGTTTATTAGCGGATAATAGTGTTGATAAAAAATTGAGGATTGTGCTAGATTTTTGGAAAAATATTGTTTGTTTAAAAAAATTAGAATTTCTAGGAGCTAGGCTACTACTTTGAAATTATTGAGAAAGGCGTTGCGGATGGGTGAGGCACCTTTGGTTTGAAAAAATTGAGAATTTCAATTTGAAAATTATCTCCAAGTCCCGTCGAGCCTCAATTATTTTATTGCGCTTTACGGACAGATTTTATTGATAGAGTGTAAAAGTAATGGGCGGATGCAGATAAAAATTTCGAGAAATTTCTTGTTGTTTTGAATAGCTAAGAAATTTGAACGGTGAAAAAAAGATCGGTGGATCGACGTTATTTCTGTCGTTGGGTAAATCAGCTGGGAGAATACCTGATGCGTAATCAGAAGGTCACGGGTTCAATCCCCGTGTGTAATTGGCTGTTTATTGAGTCATTGAATTTCTCGTGATGTTGAGAATTATCTGAGCTCCTCCACGAGAGGAATTCGATCACCCTGGCAACCGGAAATGATCCATCAAACTCGATTTCTGATCGTCTCTCTAAAAATATGAATTAATACATTTCCTTTTCCATATTGTTTCTAAAATCAAACAATCCCCAAAATCGAATTTAAAATTTGACCAATACAATTTTCCAGAGCGAATATCCAAGTGTTAATTACAAATATCCTAAATTTTTCAATTTTCTTTTTTCGAAAAAATTGGATCTCCGGGACTGTGAGACGAAATCCGTTATTAGGATGGAATAATCTATCTGAGGACATCGATTCCATCTCTTTGGGAAAAATAACCCACATTTCACCGGACGATCATTTATGAAGGTCTTCTGGTTTCTTGTCTGATTTAATCCTTCAATTTCCCGCAGCCTCACATAAAATACTAGAATCCTGTCATCACAGTGGAATAAAGCCCGTTATTTCCCGCAGATATCTATTCCTAATCAATATTCTCCATTCATAACACGTCGGTTCATTCATCAATCTCAGTCTTTCTCTCTTCTAACGACTCGATCAGCTGTGACTCCACCATAATCATCTTCAACAGGAAATAATACGAAAAAAATGTTGAAGGTTGGGGTAAAACAGGCACCCATTAAAAATCACTCAGTTCTTAATTCTCAACATTTTATATTCAAACAAATATAAATGGATAAATTAAGTATTTAACAATTAGTCAGTTGATAGAATGTCAAGTAGAAATTTCTAAAAATTATTAAACATTAAAAACCGTAATAAAGTGCGAACGAATTTATTTTTTTCAACAGCATCAGTTTGACAGAATCTGATAATAATTCAATAATTTTCAGCAAGGTGATTGTTTAAATAAAAACATGTCCAGTATCTCCCAGTCTCATATAAAAATCGGGAATGACGATCGCGCCGCGTGCGTTATCCGCGACTTTGCGCACGGGTTCCAGTGAAATATTATTTGCTCGTTTTTCGGAGAGTAGTAAAAGGGCGTAAATCGGCAAGTCGTTACGGTTTTCATAGCTATAATTTATCTGGAAACTTGGGACAAATCGAAATCGCTTCGCTCGAGCGCACATACACGTCGGCACTCGGTGCAATGTACATGGGCTTTCACTCATACAAGGGGCCCCTTCGTTTGTGTATATACCGTATTTTCATTCAGCTCTCTGGGACCCCATTCGTTTCATTCATAAAATCATCGTGTGGGTTTTGCTGGTGTGCAATGCCGCGCACGCGCGATTTAAGTGAAAGAGAGATCCCCATTGGATTGGCGTCTGCGGAATTAAAAGCGAGAAAGTTAGGAGAACGGGTCTTTTTATGGTGCCTCATCCTCGTTGTTTATTGTTTTTTTTTTTTATTATTATTTGTGATTGAACAGATTGCACCGATTTATGACGGGATTTTTGGGGATCGTTGCTTCACCGATATGCATTCCTCCGGGATTGCGTTGTGAATTTTTCGTTTTCGGGAAAGTGTATTTCAATTATCCAATTCTATTGGCAGAATATTAATTTAATTATTTTAATTTCTACATTTATTAAGAGTATCTTTAAACAATATCGGCAAAACATGTATTTTGGATAATTTTATTATATCGATTCGGCTCATATTTTTCATTTAATTTGATTTAATAGCATTTAAATTTTTTTCGATTTTCCCAATTATAAAAATATTCTGTTGAAAAATGAAAAGACATTATTTATTATTTATTATTACTTATCGGTAATGAAATCCATATTTAGATTTTTCTTTTGATTTCCAATTGAATAAAAAATTTGAAAATAACCATGCGTTAATATTCATGTAAATAAATAATAAAAATTGTCTTGTTCAATGATTTTTTCAATTGAAAAATGAATGAAAATACGAGAGGCAACAGTAGAACTGAATATTTTGGAGTGAAAGAATTTGCCCGGTCTTTCTGCGCGCGCCTGTCAAACAAATATGGCGGTCCAGCTTACGTCACGACACATTACCAACGACATTAAATAAATTTTGATGGAATATTTATATCTCGTACCAATTGAATAGCACATAATTCTATCAGCTGAGATTGAGACGTCTAGGTACTTGTTATTACTTTAATAGAAATGTTATTCACCGTTATGATTTTAATTGCATGGATACCCTGTGGACATGGCCGAGGTCTGTAATATTTATTCTTGTTCATTTATTTTGCCATTAATCAGGTCTTACTCGTGGCAGGAGATAAACTGAAAATTGCTGGAGAATTGCACTCTGAATTTTCAAGTGAAAATCCGTGAATTATTCGTCGAGGAAATTATTTTCCGTCAATGTTTACATATTATCATGTCCATCGCTCACTAATCTCTTGAATACTAAATTGTGTTTCTATTTTCAAGCTCTTGCATCACTAACTGAAGTTTGAAAAAATATAAACAAATTGTCCTTAATCCTCAAAAAAATTAACTTAACAATTTACAACTTTACAATTACATTTACAATTAATTTGATTTATTCTCCGATATTTATAATTTCCCCTGTGCATGATTTATGATTCAATTCTAATTAGGGAATGAATTCCTGATTATTCAGTCAGATTTCGGTCTAATTCCGATTTTTTAATTGAGTTGGCGTAACGAACTTCACAGAATATTCCATTTCTCGGAATAAAATAAGTACCGAATAAAGAGAATTGCTAAGTAATTAGTGTAGAGTGGAATATAGTGATGAAAATGCCTCACCTACGTAATTCCCGTTAAAATCAACTCGAATATGAATTTCCCTGGAAGCAATGCCTGATTAATTCTCTCTGCTTAACAGCTTTTGGGTTTTGAGTTGGTTTTACTCTAGAACTGGGTTGACGATTTTCACTAAGAATATTGAAACAGTCGAGTTGAGTTCGAAATAATTTCAATTGAATTAAATTTTCATTGAATTTAACGAATTGATTTGAATTTTCAGACCGCTCGTATGATGTTTACACGACAAGTAATCATGCTGTTGAGGAAATCGGAGAGGATGTATTTTTTGAAATCGTTCATCCACCGGAGTTGCAGTTTACTTATAGAATAAGACCGGCTCAGGGCTTTGGAGCTAATTTTGTGAGTTGAAATTAGAATTCATAATGAACATTGAATTAAAATATTGACCGAAGAAAATGATATACATTAGAAAAAAAAATATTTTCCTATGAACATTTCCCTGAAGCACCAGAAGAGTACGTAGGGTAGAACTCCTGGGGTACAATGCGACATGATTGGAGAGGAAGTCAACCCATGACACCCCAAAAAATGCAGAACCCCCAATCACTCTATCCGAAAAGTTGGAGAACTTATGCATAGGATATGCATTAAACTACCTGATATCGTACTGTAAAATTGAGTCATATAATATGGATTTGATAAATAGTAAAATATTGATAAATTAATTTTAAAGAAATTAATTGAATTAAGATGAAATTTAAATGGAAAAAGTAATTTAAATTTCTTTGTAACTTTCAGAATTCAAGTTTTTCGGAGAAAAACATTGCCCTGATTCCAACAACACCTCCAGATTGTTGTAATCCGCCGGACAATGCCGGTGAATTATTCGGATCAGTTGCGTTAATCGAGAGGGGAGGCTGCAC